CGACTGTGCTCTGCGCCGACATTAATCGTTTCTTGTGGTCCCGTGCATGTCAGAAGAAATGGAATATTTTGACTGAAATCGATGTCTATAGAGCTAGAAACGTGTTTGTGTCATTTGGCTACCCGAACTCATTTGTTTGGCGGATTTCCAGTGAATTGTCCATTTGTGAGAGGTTGCGTGTATTTAATTCCTCTAGTCAAGTCAATGTCACGTAATCGTTTAACTGGTTTGTCACACCAACATGCATAAATCGAGGTATTGTGGCAGAGAATGACTCAGTCACAGCGACATCTTCCACACGTTATGCTCAAATCTAAAGTAACTAAGTCACGCATACCGTGAATACAGGCATTTCTAGAAACTGATTTTTGGCAATACCTCAGCGTCCATTCACCATTCGCACGTCTCGTTTGCCTTCACTTGTTGATTTCCTTATGAACAGTCAAAGAAATGTTTAAAATGCGAAAACCTCGGCTAATTCGCAACTTCACTGGGTCTAACGTAATCGGTGAATCTTGCTGCACAAGGTATGGGCCAAATGCCTCTGGCATCAAGCTGTGTCCTTGACCTTCCATACCACACCTATTTCTCATCACAAGAGGTCTCTTCTGACCGAACTAGTGTGTAGTCTGATTGACGGCAGTCATGTCATACACCAGTTAGTTGCACCTTTCGTTTTTAACTCTCCATAGCTGTCGAATATTTTTGTGACACCATCATTGCGTTTTGCCTGCAGAATTTTGTTTCACATTTGGCAAATTGAACCTGTCGGTGCGCAATTAAATGTAGTAGTGGATACAACCTGGCTTCACCAATCTACTACGGTTGGGCTTATAGGTTTCTAGTTACTTTACAAAACCTCCGTCCAAGTCGGATTTCAAAACTGATTTCTCCCTCAACTGCCATCCACACGGAGTGAGACCAACCAATCTCACTATCGAATATTTCGATTGACTTAAATCGGATTCACTGTCTTGTATGGCAGGCCTCCAGGTTGTCAGATCACTGATGCTTGCTGATGGATCAGAATAAAAGCCAACTTGTCGAACATATGCACAAAAATGACACACAATTTCGCCAGATATGTCCAAACTTTGGTTTAAATCTGAAAGAAATGCCACTTACAGTCCGCTTCACGAGTATCACGTGCAATAGGCCAATTAGCCGAACTGCGACCCTCTTAAAGGAGTTTACTTAAATTTCCCAAGTAGCCCAGCAACCCTGACAACACGCTCATCATATCCTGCACCACACTGTCACTGCATCACTCTTAACAACCTCTATTTCCAGACAAATTGTCAATCACATGTCATGGATATTCACATTTGTGGAGGTGGTAAACTAAGCGAAAAATAAAAACAAATCGTATTTAGCTAACTCTCGTTTTCCCTGTTTGATCCACTCAAAAACGCACCCTACACACTCACGCATCTTTTGTATGTTGCCTAATCATTGCAGGGCTCTAACGCATGTCCTGTCTCCAGCCATGTGCGATTCTACTACTACAACGACCAGCTACATCTAAACGCCGTTTAATCAAGTCACTTCATTTCTAACATTGACGAGATATCACTACACCATGTTGGTAGCCTCACAAACTGTCATTGCTTGTAAAAGTGGTCAACTCGACCACACAGCTGGCAAAGAAATGCCCAAATCTTGGCAAATATTCCATCTTCAATGCTTACTCTTTGCTAGGCGTTACCATTAATTTTACTAACGAATAAAAACTAAGTACAATCCACACCGAATACAACCCGAAAGTGAGTAATTTAGGCAAAAGAAGATCTGATTCCAATATCACTTCCGCACAATAACACAAAAACACATTACATACAGTCTTCACGGTGGTAAAGTCCTCTGTTACGATTACTGACTCGCGAATGTGCATTTCACCCTTACTTTCATCATCATCATCATCTGCATCTGCATCACCGAAATAACCGCAATGATAAACCATCATGCAGTAAATCGATTTAATTGATTTGGGGAGTCTAGATTCGAATGACCAACTTAGTGATTGTGGCCCATTTCTATGCCCCAAGTAAACAAGACACATTTGAAACGCACACTTTATTCCCTTCCGTAAACAACGCTTGGGTGATACAACCAGCTGACACGACGACGAGGTGCCCGCAATCGGGAATTCACGCACTACGCAAGATTTCCACTTGGATTATACCCTCCAGCCTTCAACAGTCATTCCAAGCACCATCGGAGGCAGTAATGCTGCAGAAGAAAGTAAGAAATAGTATTCAAATGTAGCTAAGCAAAAGAAATAAAACATATCTGACTTCTAGCAAAATGAGTGCATTGCTTACTTACTATAGTCTCCTCATGTTTTTCAGTTCACATAACCGCAAGCACACTTTGCAATGAGCTTACACCGAGCGGGTTATTTGTAGCTATTACTAAATTTTTACTCGCACTAACGTCTTACAATTCACTACAGAGAATAAAACGTCATCAAGATTACCTTTTTTGGGCACAACTTCCTCATTATCAGCCGGAATCGGTGTTCATCACGTCAAAGACCGCCCACTGGGTCCCTAAAACGATCCATTTCTTCTTCAAAAATCTCTCAATCCGGCGAATTGACATTGAACTCTCAATCACCTTTAAAACGACCGACTGTTCTTTCTGCAGGGTCTAACTTGACGAAGAACCAAGTATGCATGAGGTTACCTATCAAAAGAAGTAATGCGTTAGAGTCAACTCAGAAGTCCATTCGTCAGGAAAAGAAGGGTAAGTTAAAAGATGTCGATATTTCATGTGTAACTTCGTTTTTTGATTCTACATATTTAGTGTTTAGATCAATGTATTTACATAGTTGATCAGATTAGCAGTTCGTTGTAG